AGCATTACCCGAAGTGCTCGGTAGAGTTTATGTGTACTCAGAACTTCTACAATTTCCATTACTTCGTCCAACTACTTAAAACCTTAATTACTTGTTGGCATAGTACTAAGCAGATACAAAAACGTGCTACTGACTGACTTAATAACAGAAACCTTTTTTTTCTTTCCCTATTTTTCTTTCTAGAGCTACGTGCCTACCTGTATCTTTATAAAGTCACCAAAAATATCAGATTATAATTATTCCATTTTTTTTCTTCAAAATTATTATACATATAACTATTTTCAGCAATAATTGCTTCTCTCTTCTCCTCAACTTTTAAAATTGAGATTAAGAGTGCTGAAATTGAAAAGTTAAATTTGTAGTGTGAATTAGTATTATTTTTTTGTGGATGTTTTTTAACAATCATTATATACAAAATTGCTGTTGCTTTCTTAGCGTAAGGTTACACAATCTGCACTTTGCTCACCAAGGGGAATCGAACTCAGGATTTTTGCGTTGCAAGTGCGTTTGTTTGTCTGAAGTTAAGCACAAAGCTACACAATGGGCTATCTGTGTTTCTAGCGTTGTAAGTCCGCAGACATACCGCTGTGCCACTAGGGGGTTGCAAGTCCGTAGACTTATCAATTACCAACCGGAGGACCTGTATACAATTCCTGGTTTAGGAAATTCATGATTTGGTAATTAACCAGTTTTAACAGAATGCAGTACAAAATCTTCACCAATCAAATTAGGAAAAGTGATGATGTATTCATAGTTCGAAAATCTATTATTCTTAATCAAATCAACATTTCATTCATTGCATTATTAACAAGCAACCTACAGTCCGTTCAAATACAAATAATAAAACTGAAGAAATGGAAACTGAGACAGAACGGAATTCGAAACCAAAATTCTATCTACTTTTATACTTACTAACCATACACGTTAACCAACTCAGCCGCCATGTCTGGAAAGTTCCATTTCTCTGTTTTTATTTTATTAGTTTTTAAGTATATATAACGTAACAGAACTCTTGTAAAGCTCAGAATGCACGTATTACAAACTTGTGCCTTATCTTATTTATTTTTATTATAGATTTGTTTCTTATTTTTGTTTTAGAATACTGCTTTGTAATGTTAGTATTCGAGACATCTAATAGCTTAATTAGCATAAAACTTTTGCCCAATAAATTACGTCTTGGGCTCAAATCCAACTCTGTATCAGTTTCCAGCTTTTCAAGAACACTTCTATCTTCACAGGACAGTGAGAGGAATACCCTCTTTAAAATCTGAAGTACGAATGGCACTTGATTTGCTAGATGACTTCCAAGAGGCCTTGAAACTAGGTGGCCCTGAAAGCCTACATAAACGAACATGTGATCAAGCGCGTGAGCTCCTTGACGTAATTATCTTAGAAAAAGAATAAAAGAAAAAGTGTAATAGGTAAGTACGTTTCTTATCTATAAGCACCTGATAGTCACTAAAAAACTTAGATGTTAGTTTTATCACCTGGTGGTTTAATGATCATGCTATCATCATAAAGAGTGTGTGAAATAATTATAAAATATAATTTAACGAGTTATTGTACAATAAACCGAATTTCTTATTTTCATTCTTTTGTTTTGCAGTGGGTGAGAGTATTGTAAATTTTCTGCATTTAAAATAGTTTAACTTATCAAGTGCTTCTTCTTTTTAAAGAAACTCTAATAATTAACATTCTCACAAGTGTAAAAAAAAATATTAGAAAGTAGGAATTGGAGCACCAAAAAGTAAGGAAAGAAGGTAGGAATGGGCGGGTTAACATTTCAACACTTGGTGGTTTTTGACACAGTGCAACCTCAAAGTGGATGTGGCCATCGTCCCGCCCATTCATACTTCATGTTTTACTTTGAACTTTAATTCAATTATAGACTTAATTTATGAGTAACTAATCCTTTTTAAATATTCAACAAATTTAAAAAAATCAGTAGTTTTGATACTATTCTTTTGGCCTACCCCTTAACAGTCAGATAGCTGTCTCCCATTAGGAATTTATGATTATTGGAGCTTCCTGTCTCACTTCGGATATCAACATCCCCCTTATGATGCCATGCATTTCGTTAGGGTCCCGTACATACATGTATTTGGTTGCTTAAACAAAGTTTACAACAGAGAAATTCAGTTATATGTACCTTTCATTTAGTTTGAACAATTAACAAGTTACAAAAACGCGAACTAGCAATGGACAGAATGATGGCTACGCTCAATTTAAAGTTGCATTTGTCAAAAAACATCAAGTGTTGTAATGTATTATCCCGCCCATTCATACCTTGTTTCCTTACTTTTTTTGGTGTTCCAGTTCATACTTCCTAATTTTATTTAAAATTTCTTTCCACTTATCTCATAGCTCTTTTTTTTGTACAATGTCTCGAGAGTGACTGAGCTTTAGGCTCGTAGCTTTTCTTGGTGCCAAATCTCGAGAGTGACTGGGCTTTAAGCCTATCTCTCTCATAACTCTTCTTACATTTATCTCTCGACATTTCGTGGCTTTTGCTGATATCTTTATTATAGGTTTCATTCATCTAGCGAAGGTGACAGCCTTTCCTTTGGGTGGATTAATGGCTAAAGTTTGTTTCGCATATTCAGCATTACTGTTTCTAATCTTATCTATATTCTTGAAGTAATGCTCTCTTTGCTGGGTTAGTTTCCAAGGTTAACATCATAAGATTTTCTCCTTTTCTCTCGTTTTGTTTACTTGAAAAGCATATTTCAAAAATCGCACTCTTCCAAGTACAACCTTAGATGTGAATAGGTCACACTGTGTTTGAAAACAATTCAAAGGTAATTTATACAACTTAGCATTCTTGTTTTCAGTCCAGAGCACTTGAGCAAAGACGTGTCAGACTTCAGCGGTGGTAGCGTTTGTCTTCACGTCTTAGGCACCGACTGCTATGACAAAATTGCTTTGTTCATCACAGAACCCAAGAGTCAGATAAATAGAACTGAAAACTTTGCTTTCAAAGGTTTGATCGTAGTTAGAAACTAGATCAAGAGAATCTACATAGTGAACGTTTTTTGTGTAGCTTATACAGCTGTAGGTTGATCATGTAGCGCGTGCGCATAAGCAATAGAGTATTGGTATGTAATATGAGGGCGGGTTGTTAGTTGGCAACTCACAGAGCGTGCTCGTAATCATAGAATATGGCTACTAGTGTATTGTTAGCTCGTTACTAGTGTTGCAAAATGGATATTTTTATTACTTGTTATTACTAAAGTTATAAGTAAAACTAAGGAAAACGCTTTTAGCCAAAGTAGCGTAATTCAATCATGTATATTTAGATTTGCATAAGATGAAGGGGCGGAGAGAGCTTGCCTTTCCAGCAACGTTAGTCAGTCAGCTAGAAAGTCAGAATGACACATTTGTGGTTTTGTGAAAATTTTGTTTTTACTCTACCGACTTTCTAAAGTGCTTTGATGGCTTGTTACTCTGCAATTGGTTTGTTTACTACTCAACAATGTGTGTAAATTGCTTATAAAGTTCTATTTACATGCTGTTTGCAGTGTGTTTCATATTTTAATTTGTGTTGCACACCTTGTCCATTCCTAATATAAGAACTACCGTACTTATGATAACCAAAATACCATAACCAACTTCTGTTTTTATGAATATCGGGTATGAAAAAAACAAACTTGTGTACTAAATTTAACAATGATCCATATCATGCGCATTCCCTACTCTTTACTTGATAAGAGTGCCATGTACGATGATTGGCATTTCATATTTATTAAGATGTTTCATTTATTGGCTTAAAATATATTCACAGATTTCAATATAAGTTTATCATATCTAAATATAAGCAATTCAGACACTATAAGTCCGAGATGGTAGGGGTCACTAAATGTTATTCGAGGTATTTGTCATAGACAATTAAATCTTTGAAACATTTCAATCTTATGTGTTTTATACAAAATTTGAGGGGGATAACTATATAAAAGTATAGATATTTACTTCTGATCAGATAAATTATGCACCTAGAGAGAAACTGAAATTCAACATATAGCAAATTAAAATATACCCTCCTTACGTTTTTACTTAGACTAGTTGGGTACCCTCTATGTTATCGTTACCTTCAGCCGTAATTCTAATTGTATGTAAATTTAAAAATACTAGTATAAACGAAATCATAATAAACACAATAAGTAATAACTTCTAATTTTTGTAAGGGAAATTATTGGAATTACGTATTTGGACTGAATCTTGTATAGGTGTATTAATATAGGTGTATCACTTTCCGTATATAAGACCTGCAAGTATGTAATTCTTATAGAACCTTTGAAGATCTTGACAGTAGCATGGATGGGTGCTATATTAACAATTTAGGTTGGGCTTGTATAGTAATACTTTAACATCGTGGTATTTATGTCCAAACATCTTTATGGGGTTGGAATGCCAACTTCAAGGACAGTTTTACTGTCTCTCCCCCCCCCCCCCGGTCGTATGTATTCCAATTATTTATTTCTTCTTACATTTATTTATTTGTTTATTTTTATTATTGTTTTGAGCAGCTGCCTTTCCACATCTGGCTGCAGATAGCGAAAGGCGGTAAAGATGTGGGACGTTGTGGGCTAGAGCACCCACATCTGCACTTTTTTATTTATTTTTATTATTATTATTATTAAGAATGTGAGGCCTGCGAAACTGAGGTTGAACTGGACAGACGGTGTATCCACCAACGCAACTTGGGTCTTGCTTCCGCCAGTACCACAAAAACCAGGGTACATTGCATAACTACCCACCTTATGGTGTGTGCCCAGGTGGTGCATGTTTGTTTTGTAGCTGCGTTGTTTCTATCTTCCTTTTTTGCTTTCATTTTCTATGTAATATTACAATTATATATATACTAACTATAATACAAATTCTTAAGACAAGGGAAGATGTTTGTTTTTACAAATAAATGTTTTGAATGTTAAACTTCATTGTCACTGATAATTATTTCCGAATTGTTTTGTATAGTTTTACTATATTATCAGCTAAGACACTACCTTCTTGAATTGTACAGAGTGGTCCTATCCAGACTCCGTTAAAGCACTTAATTTTGCACACGCGCTTCTGTGCTAATGGGCCGATGATCCCAAGAAACTGGACTTCGTGCACTCCTCTAAAGTTTGTTCCTCCTCCGCCAGGTAAAACGGATCCATTTACTATGACTTCTGGTGGAGCGCAGTCACTACGGAACCCCGCTTGTTGAAGAACTAAAATGCAGACAATCAATATTTGTAAATTATGCACGAAAAGAAACGACGTACGTAATCACATAATATATAATTTGTTATATAAGACCATCTTTCTGATATATGTATGAGAAAGAGATGATAAATAATGCAAAGATTATCAGCTAAAAGAATGTTTAATGATAATGTTATTAATATGACTTCCACGAGATGTATTAAAGAATGTAAGAGTCAATATTTGGTTTAATTCAGAAGTTTTATGCTTAAATGAAGATTGTAACAAAATTTACTGATTGAAGTGTTAGAGAAATATTCACGTGGAAATTTCTTGGATTAAAATAAATAACGTTTTGAAACGCTGAATAAAGGGATGGAGAGGGGCAGAAAAAGGCAGGCTTTTTGTACATACTCAACACGATATAGTAAAACAGCTTTTTGTACATACTCAACACGATATAGTAAAACAGCTTTTTGTACATACTTAACACGATATAGTAAAACAGCTTTTGTACACACACTATACGATATAGTAAAACAGCTTTTGTACATACTCAACACGATATAGTAAAACAGCTTTTTGTACATACTTAACACGATATAGTAAAACAGCTTTTGTACACACACTATACGATATAGTAAAACAGCTTTTGTACATACTCAACACGATATAGTAAAACAGCTTTTTGTACATACTTAACACGATATAGTAAAACAGCTTTTGTACACACACTACACGATATAGTAAAACAGCTTTTGTACACACTCTACACGATATAGTAAAACAGCTTTTTGTTCATACTTAACACGATATAGTAAAACAGCTTTTGTACACACACTACACGATATAGTAAAACAGCTTTTGTACACACACTACACGATATAGTAAAACAGCTTTTGTACACACTCTACACGATATAGTAAAACAGCTTTTTGTTCATACTTAACACGATATAGTAAAACAGCTTTTTGTACATACTTAACACGACATAGTAAAACAGCTTTTTGTTCATACTCAA